TATAAATCATCGATTTTATTGGATAAATCTGCCGTTAATTGACGTAATTCATCTTTAGTTATTAGAGTTATATGATAAGGACAAGATAGTGCATTGGGGATACCAGCAGCAGATGCAACTTCATTAGCTATATAATCAATACGAGGACCAAATACACCGATATAACCACGACTATGTTTTATAACTATATCATTTTCAGCCATAATTGCACTTTTATTACTAAAAAACAAGTCGACTTCTAGTTTTATCTTAATATTTAGACGAAAATCTCACGAAAGCAAAGAAAACTCTCATCTACTTACTGATAATCAACAAAAAGATTGTATCTGACAGAAGAAAAATAATGACTTTACTATTATTCGATCTGCTTTTGTATTGTTATATACACCGACAACCTCCATTTTTAAAATTTCGTAACATATAATAATGACTCACAAGAGTATGGCATAATTTCAATATTTATTTATAACAATCACATGCTTTTCGGTCTTGTGCAATAACTTATTTTTTCTGTTCTCTTATTTATTCTGTCGTCAGTGCAATAGCGGCATGGCCAAGAGTTACGAAATTTTATTTTTTTTACATTGTGACGTCGATACCTCTTCACTGATAAAAGCAAACTCTCTGAAATTTTTATCATAGATGGAAACTATAAAGATTTACTACCAGTCAAAATTACATTCATTTTCGTTTGGTCAAACCTGAGTTATTCAAAAAACATCAATCGTTACGAAATGTCAAAAAACGGAAATTTTGCTTGGAGTGAGGTGAGAGTTTAGCTTAACAAACATAACTGGATCGAATAAAAGACTAAACATAGTGTTCGTCATGGAATTTCATCCTTTTTCCAAAAATTGTAATTTGGATCCGGATAGAAGCAAGTAACATCAAAAATAACCATATAACCATTACCCGGGTCGAATTCTTCATCAAATAGTACATTTTTCACTAGCACCTAAGAAAATTTCTTTTTGACTTTTTTAATCCGGGAAATTTTCGAAAAAAATCAACGTTGAAATTTTGAAAAATGAAATACTCAATTTTGTTCAGAATTTGATGCCAATTCTAAATATATTCAAATATATATATATATTTATCAACAAAGAACGGGATAAAACGTTTAGTAGTCTAAAAACACTGATTTTAGGATACTAATGAAATTCCGT